GGTTACACAGGATAATACAACTCTTCATGTAAAAACAGTCTAATAAATTCTAAAGAAGCAATAAGTAGCATTTCTTTCCCATTTTGTTCATTATTCACATTGCTGTCACTGCTGAACACATGACTGACCACATGGGCCGAAGGCAAAAGTCTACATTAATGATAAGCACATACTGAACTAACCATACTAAACACATATTTGTGCGTTTTTTGATATACAGCAAGATCAAATCAGTCATAACTGCATGTGTTTTGATTAAAAGAATTAGTGAAGTCATGTGTAACGATTATGGTATTGTCACTGTTAGAACTCCAGAATGTACTGTCTGATCAGGAATGGTTTGCTTGAAAACAGTTTTCATACAATTGTCGTTAAATGATGATTTTCCAAATAGGAATGCATGGGAGGCAAAGGTCTCTGCACCCAGCTTATATCATGATGATATAAATCCAAATCCCTATTAACCATGTCAGGAACCATAGCAACCACCTCGCAAAACCCTAGCAACCTCCTGGGATACCATAGCAACCATTTAGCAACACCTTAGCAACCACCTAGCAACACCCTAACAACCACTTGGCATACCATAGCAACTGCTTAGCAACACCCTAGCAACCACCTAGCAACACCTTAGCAACCTCCTAGCAACACCCTAGAAACCACCTGGGATACCATAGCAACCACTTAGCAACACCCTAGCAACCACCTTGCAACATCCTAGCAACCACCTAGCAACACCCCAGTAACCACATGGGATACCATAGCAACCACTTAGCAACACCCTAGTAACCATCTAGCAACACTCTAGCAAACACCTGAGATACCATATCAACCACTTAGCAACACCCTAGTGACCACCTACATTTTCTTGAATAAATGCACTTTTCTAGTTGCTGCTTTATAAAGTAGCCAATTAATCACCAACTACTGGCTTGAAAAGGCTTAATAAGTGTATTACAAGGACATCATACTGTCCAACTCTTGATAAATGGACCAACAGAAATGGTCCAGAATAAAATCTCATTGTATTAAAGTTAACATGCTTTAAGCCATAATTAAAGAGAAAGTATTGTGAGTCTAGTGATGATATGTAATTTGTACTGGATATTAATAGCTGTGTAAAGACAAAAAAAGGTTAAATTTACAAAAGCAAACAAAGCAAAAATCTGGCTGCCTTAAAATTTTCATTTTAACTTCAAGTAGTAAGTGTTAACCGTGTCTTATATTCTGTTAAAGTTTTATTTGAAGTTCATTAAAAGGCAGCCAGGCCTTAAACATAATTAGGTTGAAACACTGAATAATTGCTATAACTGCACTAAACTGTGTGGCACTACAATATAATATAAAATGATATGCACACTTTTGGACAACATCCATGGAAATCAGAAGCATTTGCAACTCATGGAGCAAAATGATTGGCTTCCTCTCATCATGTGACCCCTTGGCAAAATGAACAATGTGGCTAGTATCTCACATTCAACTGCTACTTATTGCTTCTTTAACCCTTTGCAGCTACTTACATCTCTGTGCATGGCTGGATTGGCTATTCCAGCACGTCGGCTACACAGATTGGTGGGTAGTTTCTGTGAGGTGAACGTTCACTGGAAGCAGCAAGGTTTAAAACTCAGATTAAGGTAGAGTATTGTAATGTGTGCACACTGAAACACAGGAGCAGCATATCCCTGACAGGTGTGTACAGCATGCACTGAAACCAAAGTAGCGCACAGAATTTAGCTGATTCAAATGTGTACGTCACTTTCACATGAATGAAATACACCGATCAGGCATAACATTATGACCATGTCCTTGTTTCTTCACTCATTGTCCATTTTATCAGCTCCACTTACTATATAGGTGCACTTTGTAGTTTACAGTTACAGACTGTAGTTCATCTGTTTCTCTACATACTTTGTTACCCCCCTTTTACCCTGTTCTTCAGTGGTCAGGACCCCCATGGACCCTCACAGAGCAGGTAGTATTTGGGCTCATTCTCAGCACTGCAGTGTGTTGTGCTGGTCTGAGTGGGTCAGACACAGCAGTGCTGCTGGAGTTTTTAAACACCTCAGTGTCACTGCTGGACTGAGAATAGTCCACCAACCAAAAACATTCAGCCAACAGCGTCCTGTGGGCAGCGTCCTGTGACCACTGATGAAGGTCTAGATGATGACCAACACAAACTGTGCAGCAGCAGATGAGCTATCGTCTCTGACTGTACATCTACAAGGTGGACCAACAAGGTAGTAGTGTCTAATAGAGTGGACAGTGAGTGGACACAGTGTTTAAAAACTCCAGCAGCACTGCTGTGTCTGATCCACTCGTACCAGCATAACACACACTAACACACCACCACCACGTCAGTGTTACTGCAGTGCTGAGAATGATCCACCACCCAAATAGTACTGCTCTGTGAGGGTCCATGGGGGTCCTGACCACTGAAGAACAGGGTAAAAGGAGGCTAACAAAGTATGCAGAGAAACAGATGGACTACAGTCTGTAACTGTAGAACTACAAAGTGCACCTATATAGTAAGGGGAGCTGATAAAATGCACAATGAGTGAAGAAACAAGGAGGTGGTCATAATGTTATGCCTGATCAGTGTGTATCATGGCAACATAATTAGTCTAACTGTTTACTCACATTTGTCCACACTTGTGTTGATATATTCTATTCATGCGGAAATGATGTACATATTTAAATCAAGTAAACTGAAGGCATTACTACTGTGCAGTGTGGAAGGTATTATAAGGTAATATTCTGGCAGAGACTAGCAGTACCAGTAATACTTAGCTGACCTGAGATATGTTCCAGTATATGCTACAACTCTACTGTCCCTTTTTTCTGCCTGTTATGTGTATAGAGGAGTAGTGGTCAGCTGATATGCTAATCTATGGTTGGGAGTTTGTTTTCTTTCCAGTTAAATGTCACATCCAGGGTGGCGTATTTAGATTAATGCATCATATTCAAAAGTCAGAGTGGTTATTTTTGCATATGCAGGAGTGGAAAATACTTAAGTAATTGAAAAGTTACTATATTATTATTTAGGAAATTTGTACTGTACTCAAGTATGAACGACTGAAATTTAATACTTGTACTTCTACTCAATTACATTTCCAAAGTACTCATTACAAATTACAAAAACCCTGTGTTCTCTCTCTCTCTCTCTCTCTCTCTCTCTCTCTCTCTCTCTCTCTCTCTCTTTCTCTTGAGATCATTAAATTTTTAAAAGTGGCCAAAAAGGTCAGCTTTACTTGAACTCTGCTACATTACATTAATATAACGATGCTATAAACATGTCAAAAACATGTTATTATGCTGTAATGAGTTGTCATGACAGATTTTGATCAGTAATGTAACAGTACTATGTTAATCATGTTACCATTACTGGCAATTGTCATGACATATGCCATAATGTTTGATGTCATAACAGCAAACCACACATATAAAAAAGATGGTTCTTCAAGGATTTAGTAAAGAGAATTATTACATAACCATATTCATGGTTATATTTAGAGCCATGAGCTCTATATAGAACCACTTAGTGCTTAAATGATTCTTTGCATGGTGAAGTTGTTATACAGATTCATGGGGAGTGTGTTGTAAATGGTTCTATATAGAACCTTTTTGGAAATAGTTGTATATAGCACCAAAAAAGGGTACTGGTATTGTTGCAATGCCAAGCTTGTACCAGTAAAAGAACACTTTTTGATGCTATATAGAACCATACGCAACACATTCTCCATCAATCTGAAGAACCATTTCACCACAGAACCATTTAAGCATGAAATGGTTCTACATAGAACTTATGGTCCTAAACAGAACCATTGCCTTTACTAAAGAACTCTTGAAGAACCAACTTTTTAAGTCTGTGGAGTACACGGCAAAAATTGGCATGAGGCATAAAGCTGTCATGACATCAAACATTACGGCATCTGTCATAACAATTATCAGTCATGGTAACATGACATTATTATATCTCTCAACAAAATCTGTCATGACAACCCATAACAGGTCATAACTGATGCTTATGGCATGGTTATATCAGTGTTATGTAGCAAAGTTCAAAGTGTTACCAAAAGCATCATGCCTTTTATCTGTTAAAATGTTTGTTTTTCTTTATATAAGTATGTTTACATGTAAATACATTTATTTTCACTTAACTATATTTTGTCTCCATACTTTGACACAGTACTTTCACCTAAGTATAGTTACGGCCCCTTTATACAGGTACAAAGCATCTATACTCTGCTTACTCAACTCTGACATAAGAAAACCTCATGACTCCATTTCTTTTCTTTTTTTTTCACACCTTTACATTCTTTACATTGTGTGAACATTTGGGCCAACAACAACCAACGGGCCAATAGAAATGGTCCAAAATTACATAGAAAAACATGTCATTACATTAACATACATTAAATTTAGAACCTAGTTAACGTTTTGGAGATGAGGTTTTATTATGACAGCAACAAATCATAAAATCAAAAGCCCATATTTCACAGGCCTGGCTCAGGTAATTGTGCTGTTCCGATCATAATTTATATGATCTAATTATTTATCATTTATGCGGATTATTATTCCAGTATAGCTGTAGTCCAGCCATCTCTGGTGGCATGCAGAAATATACAATCAAATTTCAAAACCAAATCAGGAGTGCCTGGACACTTGCCCCATGACTCCATGTCCATACTGTTAAAAGAGAGGGGGATGGTTCGAAAGGGGTTTTAATACTTTCCCACCATTGTATCAGTCTTTTCTGCTTCACTTCAGAGCTCTTCCTCCTTCTTGACCTCAACTCAGATCAGTCATATTAAGTCAATCACAGTTTTCCTATCCATGCAAAGTCATTCTCGCTGTGCCTAAGGGTGGATGATAAAACTGGGTGGGACCTTTAATAAATGTATATCAGATATATAAAGTTTCCATTTCTTCAGAACTGTAATCTCACTGGTTCTCTACACAATCGTTCCACTGGAAGAAGCATCTGTGAGGCAGAGTTGAGATCAAGGCAGATCGCTGCTAGATTCCTGCCAAGAGAAACAGAAAATGAGGTTAGTCAAAAGTGGACAAAACATAATTCCATAGAGTGTAAACTCATGTGAGTGACACTATGGGCCGGAATTGAAGTAAGATGCTACAAATCAATATTTAATCAATCGTCGATTCAACAGATAAATTGACAAAGAGTGTCAGGTTTAGTAAAGTATTCTATTTTAATGCACTTCAATGCGCCAGACTTGCTGGTGAGTTTATGTTTGTGACCAATAACAATTCAACAGTCACTGGGGTTGAATTAGGTCTAAAAGTTTGATATTTCTGCCATTGACAGTGGAATTACTCCCAAACAATGTGTGTCTCAATAAAGTTTAAACAGCTTTGACAAACAGGTAAAGTGGTGGAGAGCTCTGTTGTTCTACTATTTAAATGTAATTATTATGCTTTAAATTTAAATTATAATGCTTTTAATTTTCATTCTTTTATTTTTTTTAAATTATATACATACATATGTATATATATATATATATATATATATATATATATATATATATATATATATATACACAAAGTGTATTATCCACATTCACAGTTTGAGTGAAACAAATCTCTGAAATATTTATGAATTTCACAATTTTTCAGTATTTGTTATGTCCTCTATTTGCTTTAACAATAGCTTTGGAAGTCTAAAAAAATCTGACCCTTTTGTACAAAGGCCTGAACATGGACACATATTTGCTTAAATTTGAACTGTGACCTACAAATATTGCAAAATGTTCTTTTTGTTTCCTTGTGTATGATTATTTACATAATTACAGAATGAATTCATTTACATTCAGTGTTGACAGTTTTGAGTCTGTGCTTCTGACTTATTTGTCTATTTGTTTGCAGATAAAAACATTTTTAAAAATTGGAAAAAAAAACCAAAAACTGTTTTTTTTTTCTTTCGCAAATAAGTAAGTAAGTAAATAAATAAATACATAAATAAATAGATAAATAAATAAATACAATACCTTTTCATCATAACAAAATATGTTCACTTTTATTTACAAACACAAATGTAGTATGTATTGAAAGTTTAGACTTTCAACACAATCTCTCTGCTTCAGTGAGTTACGAGTAACAAAATTACACCATGCTTTTCTCATTGCTGGCAATAACTGTGCCTTCAAAGGGTATCTTTCGCTGAAAAGGGTGATTAGAATAAGTGCCGTGTGGGAGTGAGGTGGTTGTGGCTGGTTTGGGATGAAGGCAAGAGTGGGTGGGCTTCAGAGCTGGGGCTCAGTCAGGGTAGTGTCAGGGTGAGAAATACCAGTATCAGGTTTTGGAAAGTGTAGGCCAAGAACAGCACAGTGTAAAATGTGTTCTAAGACAGAACTGAATAGATACAGAATGAGCTAGGTGGCAAAGACATTTGGCAAACTCTACATTATCAGCATTCAGGGAGTTCACAGTTGGAGTTGACTACCCTGGGACCACCTCCATCCACAGTCCATCTTTGAGCGATGCCATGGAACAGTGGTCACCAACCCTGGTCTTTGAGATCCATCTTCCTACAGACTCTACATCCAACCACAATCTGCTACACCTACTCCAGCTCATTATCTACTTCAGAAGTTCTTGACTGGCTGGATCAGAGGCATTAGTGCTAGAGAGGGTGGGGTGGCATGTATGCTGCAGGTTGGAAATAAACTCTACAAGAGGGCTGGTGACCACTACCATTGAAGAACCACCTTTGGTTCCATAAAGAACCAAATTTGAAAGAGAGTTTTGTGAGTGCAATGAACCTTTTAACCCCTTAAAATCCCCTTAAAATGACCTATTAAGGCTTATTATTATTAAGTGACTACAGAGATTTCAGTGCAAACTGGCTGAGCTATTCTTAGTTTATAGAAGTGTGTTATAAAACTTTGGGCCAGCTGGTGAGGCCTGGCTATTTAAGGGGTTATAGGTTTAAAGAACCTTCACATAATGTAAATGTTCTATACACATGTAAGGGTTCTTCCTAGAATCATTACATTGTGTGGAGGTTCTTCAAACTTTTTGAAAGGTTCTTCATACCCACACAAGCTCATTTATAAAAATGGTTCTCCAAAGAACCATCCACTAAAAACTTTTTTGAAAGAACATAAAGTGGTTCTTCTATGGCGCCATGCAAAGAACCTTATTAGCAACTTTTATTCTTAGTGTAAGTGGAGGATGCGTACATTAAAAATATTTGTTTTCATTTTCAGTTTATAGTTCTAACTAATTAGAATCAACCATACAAAAGAACCAATGAGTTCGTTTGACTTAAAACATGAAAACATTACTTGCAGTTGCTCCATCTTGACTATGCTCAATTTGATTGGAAATGTGTGGAATAATTAAATTAAGTACAAACAATGATCTGTACAGTCTAGCTAAATGAATATAATCATCTCTCAGTGAAGGCGGCTCACAAACCCTGCATTTGTACAGGGCCCAGAAATTTTTAGAACATTTCTTTCTATGTTGCTCTACAGTCTTGAGTCCAATCTGCTAAACCTCACTGATGACCTGGTACATGTCTATTTTATGGCAGCTGAATAAACTTGGCTGAGGATTTAAAAGGTCAATTCTGCTCAAACTTTATGCATAATTAAGACATTAAGATGTAAACAAAGTCATTCAGAGTGTTTGTATGTTAAATGATCAATTCCATAAAACTCAGAAAGCCAGGATTGTGATAGGAACCAGACATCTGAAGAACTGAATGCCTCTGAAAGCTCCTGCTGAGAAAGTTATTAAATAGACATTGTTTTATGGTAGTTTTGGGAAAGTTTTGACCTCATTTTTAAAGAAAGAGTTTGGTGGTACATGTGAAACAGTGTTAAATTAGTCCACCAAAGAAGGCCCATATTGTATTCAACATTTTTGTGATGTCACAAAAATCAACACATTTACATATTTTCACCTATGAAGCCTTCACAGTTTAGCTCCACCCATTCATGTTGAAGTTATAAGGAATGGACTGCTTTTTGAATGATTCATTACACAGTGCAGCCAGTCAGAATAGAGGGTATTACATATATCAGTCTTGTGGCAAAAACCGCCTGTTTAACTGTAGGGATAAAGAACAGCTGACAAATGGTCATGTAAAAATGTTTCTAGAACATAAAGCCACACAAATGTCTCATAGAGAAAAATAAAGTACAAGACAAAAGTAGGATATTATGTGGTGGAGATGCACATGCAGGGCTTTATAAGGCAAAACAGTCCCCAAAGAAACTTCTTTTTATATTTACTACCATTTTATCATTAGCAATTTAACATATATAAACTCTGAAGACAAGTGCAGGTTCACAGGTGGTTTTGGGTAGTAAATAAAATGGCTATTTTTGTTCGGTAGAATGGTTCCTATCACTGCCACCGTAAAGAAATCTAAGTCTCTACAATGAACCATTTCACACCTAAACCACTCTGAATGACCTTGTTGACATCTCAATGATTTAATTACACAGAAATTTTGGAAATTGGTGGAATTCCTCTATAATTCCAGTGGTCTCCAACCCTGGTCCAAGAGAGCTACCTCCCTGCAGAGTTTAGTTCCAACCTGTGTCCAATTAGCCGCTCCTTACGTAACTCTAATACATCTGATCCAAACAATCAGGGACTTGGGAAGAGGTCGATTAGCTGGAGCAGGTGTGGCAAATTGTGGTTGGCTCTAGGCTCTGCAGGAAGGTAGCTCTCCAGGACCAGGGTTGGAGGCCACTAGCTTAGAGATTAGTTTTCACACTCATGAGGTTAACAGTCTAATATCTAAACAACAGAACACCAGGATGTGGGTCAAGGAGAGTGGAAGTGGGTGTGAGGTATGTCATATCATATAATAATGTGCAGGTCTCTCTTCACTCTCTGAGAATAATGAATACGGTCTAGGTCTTTGGACAGATCTGAACAGATCTCATCATAAGAGCAGTAGAGAGAGAACTGCACCAACAAAGGATGGGGTAAAACAGGCCACCGAGCACTACCACATCATATCACAGCTTACAGAAGCCAGCATACCTCCAGCAGCAGACTGCACTTCCATTCATTTTGAGTACTTCAGAGTGCAGGAGGAAAACAAGCATTTCAATTACAGGTAAGAGCCGAGCAAATGACCACTCAGTGAGTAAAGAAGCACTCATGGATTCTCATGCACTGTTGATATATTTGTCCTCTTAAAAGCCTGAGTGGATTTTGAAGTTGACAGTGAAGCCTTGTGTTGTCAACTAGAGTGTAAGTAACCTATACTTTTCTTTCCACTCTATTGAGTAAGTGACAGTGTTATTGGCAGTCAAAGGCTAAAAATGTATTGCTCATGTGTAAATCTCGCTTTACCGCCTCACTTTCTCTCTCTCTCTCTCTCTCTCTCTCCCTCTCCCTCTCTATAATACCACCCATACACACACACTTACACTGACTGGCCATATCAATAAAACGATTGTTCCTACACTCATTGTCCATTTCATCAGCTCCACTGACCATATAGGAGAACTTTGTAGTTTTACAATTACAGACTGTAGTTCATCTTTATTACCCTGTTTTTCAATGGTCAAGACCCCCAAAGGCCCACAACAAAGCAAGTATTATTTGGCTGGTGCGAGTGGATCAGACAGAGTTTTCAAACACTATGTCCACTCACTGTCCACTCTATTAGACACTCCTACCTTGTCAGTCCACCTTGTAGATGTAAAGTCAGAGACGATAGCTCATCTGCTGCTGCACAGTTTGTATTGGTCATCCTCTAGTGCTTCATCAGTGGTCACAGGACACTGCCAACAGGACGCTGTTGGCTGGATATGTTTGGTTCTAGTCCAGCAGTGACACTGAGGTGTTTAAAAACTCCACCAGCACTGCTGTGTCTGATCCACTCGCACCAGTGCAACACACACTAACACACCACGTCAGTGGTCACTGCAGTACTGAGAATGACCCACCTCTCAAATATTCTTATTATTAAATAATCTGCTCTGTGGGGGTCCTGACCATTGAAGAACAGGGTAACAAAGTATGTAGAGAAACTACAGTCTGTAACTGTAGAACTACAAAATGCTCCTATATGGTCAGCAGAGCTAATAAAATGAACAATGAGTGTAGAAACAAGAAGGTGGTTTTAAAAAAAAGTGGTCAGTTAGTGTATATACAGGAAAAAACTGGCCTAAAAACACATTTAGAATTCACCAATATACAGCACTGTTTAAAAAGTCTTAAGCATCTGAGAAAATGATATGCAAAGTTATTCATCTGAGCAGTCAGCATTTTTATGTGTTAAAAAAATAAGCACTAACATTAGAATAAACAATCCATTGTGTTTTGATGTTTGTAAATGCATTAGCTTAATGGGGAAAACCAACATGCTTCTGCATATCTCAGTGCTTGAGATGTAAACAAAGTCAGTCAGAGTGGTTTGATGTGAAATGGTGTATCATAGAGCACCTTAAAACCTTCTTAAAACTATCGTAACACAACATCGCAGTCATCAGGCAGTGAATTCATAACCATCTTGAGTAATAACTTTCTGTGAGGGAGCTTTCAGAGGTGGACGTCTGGTTCCTATCAGCACCACTGTGAACAATTCTGACTCTGTAAAGAGCGTTTCACACCAAACCACTCTGAATGACTTTGTTTACATCTCAGTGAATTAATATTGCAAAATCTTCAAAAATCAGTAGAGGCCCCAATATCCTTCCACCTTTTCCCACGTTTTCCTCAAGGAAGTCCAGTATTTACGGTTACCAACCAATACCTAGTTCTAGGATCTAGCCAATCTTTTATCAAAATAAATCAGGTGAAGAAATTCATACAACGGCTGTAGTGCTGCAAAAACACTACATTTACTGGTTGTCTCTTTAGCCTCTTCTCTAGTTCTTTGAGGGGTGTTTTTGCCTTTACAAGTACTGGTGATTTTAAATTTGTCATATTTTTGAGTGTTTTTACTGAAACAAAGCATCAAATGGAAGCGGCCACCTTCAGATGTTTAAGTCTCCTGTAGGCTGACTTGAAAACTTTAGTTGAATTGGAAGGTGATATAAGGCTGTGGCCTTTGCAGCTATTTTACTGTTTTGTTTATTTTTTTCCTCACTTTATTGCGGATTAAACCATGCTGGATTCATTTTCTCTTAACCCTAATGAAGGCCTGTGTGATGAAATATGTAGTAATGAATTCTCTACTCAAAAAGTGGCTGGTTTTATTCTGTCTAGAGTGCACTGAGAAGTCTATAGCAACACCAATATTCTTCTAACCAGGTAATGAGTAGCTTCATTAAAGGGCCTATATCCTTTTGGTTTGGAAAACTAGCTTGATTTCAAATAAAAGAGTTTGATGTAGTTTGTAACATTGCTAGTTTCAAAATGTACCATTCACTCCCCAGTCCATACAGTCCATGGCAACACTTTATTTGGATAGTCCACTTTAAATGCTTTGTAGATACTTAATATACTTTCAAGTCACATTCAACTAAATATCTACTAAACTGACCATATATATATATGTATATATATGTATTTAACTTTAAGCCTGGATCTAATCCTAACCCTAACCTTAACCTCAACCCAAAACCTAAACCCAACCCTCACTCTGGTCCTAGCCCTAGCACTGGTCCAAATCCTAATCCTAAACCCACCACTGTTTAGAGTTTCAACAGATAGTTTGTTAACATTTTGGACATCTGTAGATAATCTATAGAGGACTATAGTGGACTATCAAAATAAAGTGAGAGCCAGTCTATATATGGAAATTAAGCTGCAAAAACAGCCCATTTTGAGTTGTCTTTGTGAAGACACAGAAATAAATAACACTTTTACATATATCCACATATTCTACAGCAATTTAGCCCAATTTACAAAAAACTTTAAAGGAGTGTTACATTTAAAAAGTTCTGCTTTTATAAATGTGGCACCTCCAATTAGAACAGAGGTTGTTTCAATATATCAGGCTTAAATGAACCTTAACAAAAACCTGTTTATTTAAGGGATAAAGAGAGGTTGGAAAACGGTCATGTAAAAATAAATATTGCCCTTTCTTGTAACATAAAGCCAAACAAACATAACAACACAAGAAACATGTAGGATATGGGCCCTTCAAAGCAAAACATTCTTGTTATGTTTTACTGCATTTGTTTTATTTGTATTTTATTTGTATGCAAAAAAAAAAAAACAAGTTTGCTGTCAGATAAATAGTTTTAGTCAATGTATTAAGTTGCCTAAAACTTTTTGCACAGTGCTGTATAATAATTAACTATCCTTGTCAAATCTACAAGTAATAAGTGTATTATCATTGTCATTACAAAACCTCATATTTATGAAATTGTAACTTTATGGAATTCTACTGACCTTTCATATAAAGAAATGTTCACAATTTAAGAGCATTTAAATTAAACTTTGTTTACTTCTTTTAGCAAGAATTATGATGATGTAAAATGAATCTTTTGCCTGAATAGTAAATGTAAAAATTTAAAAAATCAAAGTACACATTTCCATGGTTGTGAATAAAGTTGTTAAGTGTCCCAGTCAAATTATGTTTAGTTGATTTTCTAAGTTAACACATCACCTCTACAAAGAACACATTTTAATGCACAATTATGGTTTACTGAATTTAACATATTGGAAAAAAAATAAAACACAAAATGTTGCCTGTGGAAAAGTTATGGCACATTTAAATTTTATGTTTCATTTTTTTTTTTTTTTCCCCAATATGTTAAACTAAATATTAACTGTGCACTAAATGCTCACTTAGCAAATCAACTAAACTGGCAAAATTGACCAGTGGTGTTCAAACTTCTCATATAACTGTAAGCAGAGCAGGTAAATGCATAATTTTGCATACTGTACCTGTAAAGTGGAAGACCTTGATTCGCTAGTCCCTGTCAGCGCAGAGCTCCGAGGTATACTGGACACGAAAAAGCCAGCGCCATTCGGTAACGGCTGTCGGACCACCACCTTCCCCTTTCTGGTCTCAGCCAAGAACAGACTGTACCAGTAAGCATCACTGGAGATGAGAGTGGAGTCAGCGATGGTGGAGTTCCTCTGGCTGACAATGCTGTTCCTGCCCTGAGGGGTCGCTTTGGTGGTCCCTTTCTGGCACTTCAGCACAATGATGACCAAAATGGTGATCAGCAGCAAAAATGACACCGAGCCCAGGCCGATTAGCAAGTACAGGTTCAAATTTATGAACAGGTCGTACTCTATGGGCACCTCAGTGGTCTCGGTGAATTGTGTGACCTCCTGCTCCACGGTGGAGACTTTGATGGTGACAGTGGCCGAGTGAGGAGGGTCTCCATTGTCCTTGGCAATAACAATGAGCCGCTGTTGCTTGGGGTCTCTGTAGGTGAACATCCTGGCGGTGCGGATTTCGCCATTGTAGCTATCCAAGGTGAAGAGCGTAGCATCCATGACTTGTAGGAACTGGTAGGTGATTCGAGAGTTTTGTGCTGAATCTGCATCAAGTGCGATCACTTTGGCCACCAGAGAGCCTTTATCAGTGGACCTTGGGACGACTTCCTCAATAACGGAGCCCTTGGCGCGCCATGGAGATACAATCTGGGGTGCATTGTCATTCTGGTCAAGGATAATAACACGAACTGTCAGATTACTGCTGAGCGGAGGGACTCCAGAGTCTCTTGCTTCGACGTGAAAGAGGAATTCCTTCTCATGCTCATAGTCGAACGTACGCAAAGCGTAAAGATCACCATTCTCTGGGTTGATGGAGAACAGCACAGATACGGATGTGTTAGCAATCTCCTTTTCTACGATAAAATAGACCAGATACTGGTTTTCATTCAGGTCTGGGTCACGTGCAGTGAGGGAACATAATAACGCCCCAGGCTCATTGTTTTCCACCAGGTGGATGGTGTAGGAAGACTGAGGAAACACTGGTGCATTATCGTTTACATCCAGGACCTCCAAGGTGATGGTCTCATTATCAGTCAATGGTGGAGCTCCTTCATCTGTAACGTGAAGGGTAATGTCATACCTGGACACTTTTTCTCGGTCTAAAGGCTCTCGAACCATCAGCTGAAAGTATTCCTCTGCTGACTTGTTCAAAGCAAAAGGCAACAATGGTGCATTTCGTATGGACAGGAGCACTTCACCATTCTTTCCCGAGTCCCTGTCGCTCACACTGACCACAGCTATCACCGTACCCACCGCTACATCTTCTCTGATCAAGCTTTTGAAAGATTTAATGGTGATATCAGGGTAATTGTCATTAATATCGGTAATCAACACTAATATCTTGCACTGATCAGACAGAGAGTTCGCCCCTTTGTCTCTGGCCTCTACATAAATGTCAAAACTTTTGACCTCCTCAAAGTCAATCACGTCTCTTACCCTTATCTCTCCAGTGTTGGGGTCCAGCGAGAACTTTTCCTGGGTTTTCTCCGAAGTGTACAAGGTGTAGGAATACTCCACCTCTGCGTTCGTTCCTTCATCCAAGTCTGTGGCGTTGAGCTGTAGAAGTAGCGTCCCAACAGATGCATTTTCAATCAGCTCCACTGAATACACCTGCTTGTCAAACTGGGGGGCGTTGTCATTGGTGTCCAACACCTGAACTATGACGCTGGTTGTACCTGAGCGCGGGGGCGTGCCTCCATCCACAGCCGTGAGGATGAGATTGTGCACAGCTTTCTTCTCTCTATCTAGACTATCTTTCAGCACCAGGTCTACATATTTGGTGCCATCGCTGCCAGACTGGATGTCAATAGTGAACTCGTCGCTGTCACTCAGGTAGTAGGTCTCAATGGAGTTCTCCCCAACATCAGCATCTACTGCATTGGTGAGCGAAAACCTCTCCCCAGGCGTCGCTGCTTCTGAGATGTCCAGCGTTATTCTCTCCCTCCTGAACTGCGGGGCATTATCATTGATGTCCATGATTTCCAGCTCAATGTTAAAGATGCGTATGGGATTCTCGATAATCACGTCCATTTTCAGAAAGCAGGACGACGACGTTTTGGCCGGACACAGATACTCCCTGTCGATCTTCTCGGCTATAAACAGCTCGCCAGTCTCTTTGTTCACGTCCAGATACTTCTTGCTGAGGATGTAGTCCAGCTTTACCTTGCGCTCTGCCAGAGCCCGAGCCTCCAGCCCCAGATCCGCGGCCAAATTCGCCACCACGGAGCCCTCCGCGATCTCCTCCGGGATGGAGTAGCGCGTCACGGCCGAAGCGGTGCTCCACAGCGCGGTGAGGGCGAGCAAACCGAGCTGCCACATCCTCAGCATCCTCAGGTGCAGCGCGAAGACGCGGAGATCCATCAGCGAGGAGGAGACGAAACCACAGAGATCAAAGCGGCGGATCAGAAGCGAACGGGCACGAGATGTGAACCTTCAGGCATTTTAGAGACGAAATATTATGAACAGAAGAGTGTGAGACTTAACATCTGATACAGAGGCTGTCATGGCTTCCACACACACACACCAAGCCTGTGGTGGTTTTTCAGAGCTGAGCGCAGAACAGCGCCCTCTGTAGCCCCTCATCCCCAACCCATGTGACCAAAAACAGCAACGCTGGCAAAGAATAATAATAAAAACTCAAGCAGCGCCCATTTGAGGCTCAATATAACAGCGATTTTCCACAGAGCAGCGACACCGTGCGAACAAAACCCTTTCAAAGCATTTTAAACGGGAATTCCACTGATTTTCAACTTGAATATCTGCATAATTAAGTAGTTCAGATGTAAACAAAGTCATTCAGAGCGGTTTGGTGGGAAACGCCCCGTTCTAGAGTCAGAATTGTTCATAGTGGTGGTGATAGGAACCAGACGTCCACCTCTAAAAGCTCCCTCACAGAAAGTTTTTACAAGAAATGGTTATGAATTCACTGCCTGATGTCTGAGACACTGTTTTACGATCAATCGATCAACATTTATTTGTACTCGAAAATGCAGAGGGTGACCCTCATTTTCAGCGCAGCCGAGCATTTACAGCGCAAAGAGATTGAAAAGAAATTAGAATGGAATCTATTCAGTTCAAGCTTGACATTAATAAGACAATAAAGTTATAATTAACAAGGGGAATAATAAAATAAATAAAACCGAGATGTCAGTGTTGAAACCATTTCATGAATTTAAACATAAGAGGAGAATTAAGCAAAACTAAAGCCTGAATCAATAAAAAAGGATTGCCAAAAGTAACAAAGTAAAAACTAATATAATTAAAATCGAATAGGAAAATTTAATCAGCCAAATAAAAATAAAATGAAACGATTGGAAAAATATAAAACTAAAGAAAAATGGGGGAAAAATTCAAGCTTCAACTAAAACAGTTACAGGCTGTCTGAAGGTGGATAAAGATTAAAAGTTTACTTTAGTACGAAACTTTTGGGAAGTTTTTTGGCACTTGAGTGTATTATTTTAAAGACAGAAGTACCTACAGGGCGGTTTAGGGTACAACAGTTTCCCCAAAAAAACATTTTCTTTTTTTTCAGACATCACAATTTTACCATCGTCAACATTCCGTATAAAACCCAGTAGTCTCGTTTATGTTCTCTGGTGGTTTTGGATAATAAATAAAATGCCTATATTTGTGTAGTCATGGCGACCCCTGGTTCCTATCACCATCACTGTAAAGAAATCAATAAGTTTCTCTTTAATGAACATCAAACTCTGAATGACTTTGTTTACAACTCAACTACTGAACTATTAACTTATGAAAAATCAGAGTAGTTAATATTGGACAGACATTTTTAAGCATCTTCTGGTCGTATAGTGGTTCTTTGCAGTGATGCTACACTTTGGTTCTAAAGAACTTTTCAACTGATGGTTTTGGTAAATAAGAGGTGCAAATGTAAAGAACCTTTTTTGCAATTTAAAGAACCTCAACATTCTAAACAAAGACCCTTCCTCGACTTATGCATCCAAGTCGAAAGCTATTTAGGCACCGTAATTTTTAAGAGTGGACTTTTGTGCCCACTAAATGTGATGTCAGGAAAATGATTGTAAAGGGAACAATGCACTGATGAACTATAGCCTATATTCAATATTAATTTCATACATATACATTGAAAAAGTAGCACACTGAACGTGCTTGAATGTGTGCATCATTACTACATGAATCGTAAACACAATTACTGCCAAAAATAAGCCAACTAAAATACAGTAACTGTGTTGATGTAATATATATTAATCAAACATAAACGACACATTCAAATCCAAATTCAGTGCATAACATTTTTAATAAGTGCGTATTTTAAATATATTTTCTCTAAGTTTCAAAGTTGTAGAGGACCTGTTAGCATTTGAGAAATTGAAACTTCTAGCAGTTAATAATTATATCGTACACATACTTTCATAATCTATAACTTTCTAAAGATCAATATTTTCAACATGTTTAGATCGAACTGAATTGCAAAACTCTTTAAAGCGAACTTTCAGTGCTTTTGCTGTTTTATTGATTTATTTATTTTTTAACACCAACTTCGGACAGCGCCACGCGCCACAAACAATCTGGCAAGTCTAGAAAAATTCATATTAAAAATCTTTATTTAAAGAATATACAGCCCCAGGGTTTCATCGTGACATAACCGAACTCTAAACAACGATACACACTGAATTAAAATACACACACACACACACACACACACACACACACACACACACACACACACACACACACTCAGGAGGGGGCGACAACGTTGCAAACTTTCAATATGAGTTAACGTAAAGTGGTTTTATTCCAAGTGATTTTGGAGCATTTCTATTGGTCCATTTTTTACACAGTGTAAAGCACGGCTGTCGTGTTCAAACGGACAGCAACGTTACACTCTGTTCAGAGAGAACTGTGCATAGTCTGATATGAATATAGCTTCATTTTCATATATAACTGTTTCGTCACCTGAGCTCGTGTTTTTACTCTGCTGGGAAATTCATTTGTAAAGCTCGTTGGTTATGACAGTGTCCTCGTGCAGGTCGTGGTTCGGCGTTATTTTTTTCTTCTTTCCAAACGTAGAGAACGAGTTGTAGATGTCCAGCTCTCCGTGACCGGCCGGTTTCAGTAAGCCCGGAGTGCCCGGGATGTAAACGTTGTGCTGGTAGTCAAAACGAGGAGTCCAGCAGCGATCTGTGAGACCACCCGCCTCAGAGGAGGTCTTATAATCTAAAAAAATATATATATATAAATAAGGAAAAACCGTGAAAAAGTTTTAGAGAAAATACTAAAGAGCTATTTACCTGGACAGGAAGCATTTATTTGCCTAAACGATAATAGTAGAATAAATAAAAATAGATTTGTGATGTATTGTGATGATTGTTATGTATATCAGCGTGTTTGTTTATCCATTTTCTAACACATTTACTAATACTGAGTTGTGCTGCTGATGAGTTTCCACTTTTAATTAACCTCAGCATGAAGCTCTGGGAGGATGTATTTATAAACATACCCCACATGTGGCTGCCCCAGGTCCAGTAGTGTGTAGAACCCGGGCACGTGCACGTGTCTGAGTGGTCCAGAATCACCCTGCGCTGGAGGGTCTTCACCACAGTGGCAGAACTGAGCAGGAAAAACAGAGATAATTATGGGACACGAATAAAGTGTGTGTGTGTGTGTGTGTGTGTGTGTGTGTCTAAGTGTGTGTGTGTGTGTGTGTGTCTAAGTGTGTGTGTGTGTGTCTAAGTATGTGTGTGTGTGTGTGTGTGTGTGTGTGTGTGTGTCTATGTGCGTGTGTGTGTGTCTATGTGTGTGTGTGTTTGTCTAAGTATGTGTGTGTGTGTGTGTGTGTGTGTGTGTGTACCTTTGTGTGTGGGTGTGTGTGTGTGTTTACCTTTTTGTGTGTGTATGTGTGTGTGTGTGTGTCTATGCTTTTTTGTTGTGTATGTGTGTCTATACTTTTTGTTGTGTGTGTCCACACCTGTGTGTGTGTGTATACCTTTGTGTGTGTGTGTGTTTGTGTGTCTACACTTTTGTGTGTGTGTGTGTGTGTGTGTATACCTTTGTGTGAGTGTATGTGTGTGTTTGTGTCTATACCTTTGTGTGTGTGTGTCTGTACCTTTTTGTTGTGTGTCTATACCTTTGTGTGTTTGTGTGTCTATACCTTTGTGTGTGTGTATACCTTTGTGTACGTGTGTGTGTCTATACCTTTGTGTGTGTATACCTTTGTGTACATGTGTGTGTGTGTGTGTGTCTATACTTTTTTGTTGTGTGTGTGTGTGTGTGTGTGTGTGTGTGTGTGTGCTTTCTAGTTCTATTGCTTTATTATTTTATTTAAAAATTGAAGTGTTTTCATTATTATTATTATTGTTGTTGTTGTTGTTGCTGCTGTTGTTATTTTTATTATTATGTGTATTTACCTTGTGTGTGTGTGTGTGTGTGTGTGTGTGTGTGTGTGTGTGTGTGTGTTTACCTTTTGTGTGAGTAATTTCTTTGGTTCTTCAACAGTGTCCAGTCTTTGTTTGCTTGTTTGATCTACAGAATTGAGAACATATATTTGCCACATTTTAATATCCATCACAATCCATTCATTCATTCATTCATTCATTCCTTTTCTTACTGACTTATTCTTACTTATTTTGTTCTCCTATTTTTTTATTTTTTTATTTATTCATTCATTCATTTTCTTACTGACATTGTTGTAAATGTTTTAGTTTTCTGGAAAACACTGACAACCTCTATAAACTGTTCTAATTTCCTAAAGCAGTATTAGTTACAACAAAGCTTTGATATTTCATGTATCTACAGCTCACTGCCAAAAATAAATATCATGAAAAAAGAAAGAAAATTCACAAAAATAGTCTTTAATATGTTTTAGAATAAAAGCCCTGATGGACATTTTTGTTATCTTCACTGTTACATTATAAAACAAAACACTGCGATAAAATGTATGTCTTTATGTTTTCTTTATAACAGAGAATTATGGTGGAATAACAGACTAGAATGCATGATTTATCTATTTATAAACCAGTTTATCAGTAAAAATGCAAACATCGTTTGGACAACAAACATTATCAAGCTGAACTTATTCACAAAAGAATAAAAATTATTGTGAAGTATCAGAATCTGTTGATGTTTTGAGACTTTATTATTGTGCTCTAAGTTCAGTCCAGACAGGAGATTTCACTTCAAACTACAGCAGAGAAATAATGGACGGCAACGCTAAAGCTTGGAAAACTTTGTTTGCTGGTCAGACATCTCCATCTAGTGGAAGAAGCCCTTAACCCTGATTTAAGCCTGAGGATTAAGAGCAGTGGGCCAACTGACCCACATCTGGTGTCATTAGCTTTCGGGCACTTTGCCACTGAAAGCATCCATGGATTAGTTCAGGAAGGATGGGTTAATTAGTCAGTCGCCCAGAGACAAACAACTTCTGGAGAGAGAACAAGTATTTCTGTATCATATATATATATATATATATATATATATATATATATATATATATATATATATATATATATATATAGGCAATTGTTTATGCTATTTGAAGTGGCAGGAGCAGGAGCTCTTAAAAATGACTCTTCAAAGGTTCTTTAGTAAAGATAATGGTTCTATATAGAGCCGTGGACAATCAAAGAATCATTTCTATGCTTAAAGCGTTCTTTGTATCATCAAATTGTTCTTCAGATTGATGGATAATGTTTTGTATGTAGTTCTATATAGAACCTTTGGTACCACTTTAGAGTAAGACTATGCTCTTAAAGCATTTATAAGTGGTTTAAAATTAGTTTATCAGTGGTTATTAAGTAGGCCATAAACACCTTGTAAAGCATTAATAAGCAGCTATAACACACCAATAAAAGGGCAACAGTGATCTGTTATTTGCCTAATAGTGAAACCGCATTCGTGTATATACACACTCAAAAATGATTGTTCTTCAAGGGTCTTTTGTAAAGAAACAGTTTCTATATAGAACCATGAACACTCAAAGTACTCTGCATGATTGAAGGGTTCTTTCCACCGTGAAAGGGTTTTTCAGATTAATGGAGAATGTGCTGTAGATGGTTCTATATAGAATCTTTTTAAAAAGGGTTCTATATGGCACCAAAAGGGGTTCTTCCATTGTTACAACGTCAGGCTTGTTACAATAGGAGGACCCTTTTTAGTGCTATATAGAGCCATTTTCAAAAAAGTTCTATTCTCCATCAATCTGAATAACCATTTTAATCATGCAAAGGGTTCTGTGAGTGTTCATGTTTCTATGTAGAACCATTTTCTTTACTAAAGAACCATCATTTTAAATGTGTAGTTAAACTGCAGTTATTGCTGGTTGCTTATCTTACTTTGTCTTCTTCATCAGTCAGCCTTAAAACTGTCAGCTTCATCTCACATTTTACCACTTCAGTAATGTGTTATAACTGTTTACTAATGATTTTTAAGGTGTTTATGACCTAATGAATAACTATTAAAAAACTAATTTTAAACCATTTTTAAACAGCTTATAAAGGTAGTATTTTTCTAAAGTGGTACCAAACCTTTTTTGAAAATGATTCTATATGGCACAAAAAAAGGGCTCTTCTATTTTTATGGTGTCAAGCTTGTAACAGTAGCATATCTCTTTTTTCGTGCTATATAGAACATGTACAACACATTTTCCATCAATCTGAAAAACTATTTCACCATGTAAAGAACCATTTAAACATGCAAATGTTTCTTTGAGTATTTATGGTCCAATACAGAACCATTGTAGGTACTAAAGAACCTTTGAAGGACCATCTATTATACAGAACATGTACAATGAGAATTTGAGTTTACTAAGTATTATTCTCAATATTACTAAATATAACTGCCTATTTACACTGTCGAAAGTAGTACGATTACTTGACTTTAATTGAAAATGAACAATAATCCCATATTAATTAAATTTTGTATTATGTTGTCTTTAATTTTATGTACTTTTGGCAACATTTGAGAACACTATATATTTTGCTTGTGTGGAAATGATGTACACATTGGATTAAAGTCAAGTCGATGTATTACTTCTGTTTAGTGTAGTGATACTGTAACAGTGCTGTAAAAAAAAGCAAAAGGTCAGTTATTTTTGTACCTCTCTCGGAGAAGCATCAGCGTAGTTCATGTTGAGCCGGTGGATCTCTGGACTCCAGCTGGATGTGTTGTTTTCCATGACCTTGCTGTTATTAATGTGGAGAGTTGAAGCTGCTGGGCTGTATGGCTTCAGGAACATGAAGTCACTTTTAGACGACTCTGGGGTCAAACACATTTTATAGCAGTAAGTCTGACCCAGTTGAGTGCTGCCGTTTGCCTCCATGGGATCCGCAGCTCCATTGGGTGTTGGTGATACGTGCACGTTTAAATTGGACTTGATGTCCTCAGTGGTGGAAGCCTTGGAGCTGAAGCCACAGCAGGAGCTGTCATATTTGGAAAGCCTGTGCCTGTATCCCTTGATTGCAGCCAGGACGATGATAGCCACCAGAAACGTGAAGGAAACAGCACCTAGAGATACTATTAGATACAGCGCACGGTCCCTGGGGTGCTGGAAGAGGTCACCGACTTCAGGCTCGCTGTCAACAACGGACAAAATGATGGAGGCTGTGGCCGAAAGGGACGGTTCCCCGCTGTCCTTGACCAAAACGAGCAGCCTATGAGTGGTGGGGTCTCCATCCCTCAAGCGGCGGATCATCCTGACCTCCCCTGTGTAGAGGGCAATGCTGACCAGGCTGGGGTCCGTGGCTTGGAGCATTTGGTAGAGGAGCCGTGCGTTTTGACCCTCATCCGCATCCAAGGCTGTGACCTTAGCCACAAGGTAGCCAGCATCAGCAGTTCTGGGGATCACTTCGCTTGCAGCGTCCGTGCCATTCTCTGGTAGAGGGGATACTATCACTGGGGCATTGTCGTTTTGGTCCAGCACAAACACATTCAAGGTTGCATTAGTGACCAATGGTGGAAACCCAGAATCCTTGGCTTGGACCACCAGTTGGAAGCTTTTTAGCTGCTCATGGTCAAAGGAGCGCATTGCGTAGATGTTGCCATTGTCGGAATTGATGGAAACGTATGTAGATGCCAGAGACCCTTGAATTTCACTTTCCAGAATAGAGTAGGTCAGGTAGGAGTTTTGTCCTCCATCCACGTCCTGTGCAGAGATGGTGAACATCGAGGCCCCAGGAGGGTTGTTCTCTGCCAGGTAGACAGTGTAGGATGGTTGCCGGAACACAGGTGCATTGTCGTTAACGTCAGCCACCTGGACCAGGATGGTCTTCCTCGTGAAGAGTGGTGGAGAGCCCATATCTCTGGCCGTGAGGGTGATGTTATATTCAGGCACCTTCTCCCTGTCCAGAAAGTCAGAGGTGACCAAAGTGTAGTAGTTCTTGAAGGAGGAATGCAGCTGAAATGGTACATGATGGGGGATCTCGCAGTCTACATGGCCATTTTCTCCAGCATCCTGGTCCATCACGCTGATGACCGCAATGACCGTCCCAGGCAGTGCATCCTCCTGGACTGGGGCAGATGTGGAGGTGAGAATGACCTCAGGGCGGTTGTCGTTGACGTCTACAACAGCTAGCAACACCTTGCAGTGCACCGCAACCGCATTGGGTCCTTTATCCTTGGCTTGCACGTAGATCTCGTGCACAGTGGCCTTCTCGTAGTCCACGACCCCCTTCACTCTGACCTCTCCCGTCCTTGGGTCCACAGAAAAAAGCTCGCGTACCTTGGCAGGCGCGTGCCCACTGAAGGAGTACGTGACCTCTCCGTTAGGGCCTTCATCCGGATCCGTGGCGTTAAGCCGGATGACCACGGTGCCTCGGGGCGCGTTCTCCACCACTTTCGCGCGGTACGACTCGCGCTCAAACGCGGGCGCGTTGTCATTCGCGTCCACCACCGTGACGTTCAGGTGCGCGCTCCCAGAGCGCTCGGGCGAGCCCCCGTCCACGGCGGTGATCACCATGTGGTGCGCGCCCTGCTGCTCCCTGTCCAGCGGCCTCTGCAGCACGAGCTCGGCGAACTTACCTGCGCGCACGTCCAGGGCGAAGTGCGCGTTCACGCTCAGCAGGTACGAGCGCAGCGCGTTCTCGCCCACGTCCGCGTCCTGCGCGCTCTCGAGCGGGAAGCGCGAGCCCGGCGCGGCGGACTCGGAGATTTCCAGGCTGAAGCCGGCGCGCGGAAAGCTTGGCGCATTGTCGTTCACGTCCAGCACCTCCACCTCCACGCGGTGCAGCTCGAGCGGATTCTCCAGCACCGCCTGCAGGTGGAGGAAGCACGAGGGGTTCTGCTCGCACAGCTGTTCGCGGTCGATGCGCTCGTTCACGAACAGCACCCCGTTCTCCAGATTCACCTCCAAATAGCGCCTCCTGGCGCCAGAAACGAGCCGAAACTTGCGCAAGAAGAGCTCGTTAGGGTCCAGCCCGAGGTCTTCGGCCACGTTCCCCACGAAGGCGCCGTGGTCCAACTCCTCCGGGACACTGTAGCGGAGCTGCGCGAGTGCACAGCACAGCAAGGACAGCATCAGAGCTGTGCAGGATGCCCACAGGACCCGCAGCTCCATGAAGACAGAACGTTTGAACGAATCAAAGATTTAGAGAAACTTCTGAGACGCGTAATGAAGCCGGGAGAATTTTGGATGGCGCAAGTTTCCCAGGACGCACCGGAGCATTGTGAGGGTGGGCTGAGTTAAAAAAAAAGATGGGCTGAGAAGTGTGTGTGGCTGGAGAGAACAGCTCTCACTGGATTTGAAGGTGAGAGAGACACAGACAGACAGAGAGAGAGAGAGAGAGAGAGAGAGAGAGAGAAAGAGAGGGGGGGATTGGGGGTGGGCTGGGAGTTTAGCTGTATTTATTATGAGCTCAATACTCTTAAATCCGTTGTGGGGATGGCTGAGCGCGAGCGCTGGTCTCTGCGTTATTTTGCCTGTGTTTTTCTCAAATATGAAAGGCGAACCAAATGCGCGTTTAGAAACAAAAGCAACTCACTTCCAGATGTTCAGTCTAATCAAACATTTCACTTCCAGATGTTCAGTCTATCAAGAATGAGCAGTTATTATTTATTAAACCTATAGGTAGATAGATAGATATATAGACACACACACACACACACCACACACACACACACACACACACACACACACATATATATATATATATATATATATATATATATATATATATATATATATATATATATGTACACATATATACCATATCTATAGATAGATAGATAGATAGATAGATAGATACTGTACATATAGATAAACCTTTTCCAATGTTAAATAAATCAGAGAAGTAACTAAATAAAAATAGGCTCTGTGGCGATGATCAACTGTGAGATCAGGAAATATAATATAGTCTAATGTTCATCACTCTGTTCAAAACACATATAAAATACATTACAGCTTATATTAATTGTTTCTAAGATTTTAAGGCTCACATGTTTGACCTGTTTAGTTTAAATATGCTACTGCTAAAGCCTGAGTCTGATTAGCATGTGAAGTTTGACTGACCTATATTAATATAATTTTGGCCTATTTAAATAATAAATACTAAATTAGAGCTTGTTTACATATATCAGGCATAGACATATATATTAGACAGAGTGCTGTGTGAAAGTCTTAGGAAGCCAAAAAAACTCTTTAAAACTATTAACCTGGGCAGTAGGTGTGTTTTGCTGGTTAAAACATTATAATGACATTGGAATTAATACAAACAAACACAAATACAGAATGATTTGTTTTCGGCAATATTTTAATATGTAGGTTAAATGAATACAGAGGTTCCATCAGCAGCCCTTGGTTTCACTTAATGAAGGACTGATTAAATAAACCAGGTATTGTATAGTAACTGTAAACACTGGACTTCTTTGAGGAGAGCTTTGGATATAGTTAAGCTGATACTCATAAACCTCAGAACACAGAGACCTGTTTTGTTTATTTGTCTTTATTCTAATGTTAATGCTATTCAAATAATTATCATTATCACAGAAAACTTTTGCACAGTACTGTAGACAGATAGATAGATAGATAGATAGATAGATAGATAGATAGATAGACATATATATAGATAGATAGATGGACAGACAGACAGAGAGACATATATATTGATAGATAGATGGACAGACATATAGATTGATATATAGATAGACAGACAGACAGATATATAGATAGATAGATAGATAGATAGATAGATAGATAGATAGATAGATAGACAGACAGACAGACAGACAGACAGATAGATAGATAGATAGATAGATAGATAGACAGACATATATATTGATAGATAGATGGACAGACAGACAGACAGAGAGACATATATATTGATAAATAGATGGACAGACAGATAGATTGATATATAGATAGACAGACAGACAGACAGATAGATAGATAGATAGATAGATAGATAGATAGATAGATAGATAGATAGATAGACATATATATTGATAGATAGATGGACAGACATATAGATTGATATATAGAGAGACAGACAGACAGATAGATAGATAGATAGATAGATAGATAGATAGATAGACAGACAGACAGACAGACAGACAGACAGATAGATAGATAGATAGATAGACAGACAGACATATATGTTGATAGATAGATGGACAGACAGATAGATTGATATATAGATAGACAGACAGACAGATAGATAGATAGATAGATAGATAGATAGATAGATAGATAGATAGACAGACATATATATTGATAGACAGACATATATATTGATAGATAGATGGACAGACAGATAGATTGATTTATAGATAGACAGACAGACAGATAGATAGATAGATAGATAGATAGATAGATAGATAGATAGATAGACAGACATATATATTGATAGATGGACAGACAGACAGACAGAGAGACATATATATTGATAGATAGATGGACAGACAGATAGATTGATATATAGATAGACAGACAGACAGATAGATAGATAGATAGATAGATAGATAGATAGATAGATAGACAGACAAACAGACAGACAGACAGATATATTGATAGAATAGATAGATGGACAGACAGACAGACAGATAGATAGATAGATAGATAGATAGATAGATAGATAGATAGATAGATAGATAGATAGACAGACAGATACATACATGGGTGAACAGAAAAGAGAGCATATGTTAAATAAATAAATAAATAAATAAATAAATGACAGACTCTTTAAACAATATTTAGTATTTTATATATAGCAAATCAAAATAAACCATAATACCTGTCTGCTTTGCTTATAATTTATGTATTATATGTGATATATGAAAGGTGTTTATATACTCCGTTATTTTTTTGTATATATATATATATATATATATATATATATATATATGGGCCAGGTCACTTTCCTCCTCTGGCTCTCTGTGCAGTAAAAGCGAGCCGATCTGCCCCCCAATCTGCCCTCCGCCCACCGCAGATGGCGCTCTTTTAATTAATGCTGCGGATTAAGGAGAGATCATTAGCGAACAGTGGGATTAAAGTAGCTTTGTGGGAAATAATCCCAGCCAAACACGGGATCCTCATAACAGTCAGCCCAGTTCCATTACCTTAAGTGCATTCTTAGTGCCATCAAGCTGAACCGTACAGGACCCAACCGAAGCCTGCTGACTGAGACAAACACATTAATTCACATTAGTGGATCAAAAAGCAAAGAACAGGCAGCCACGTAACGGACGGAGCTCCATCTCCCTCCTCTTACAAAGGCTTTAGAGCTGCTTTACAGCTAACGTGTAATTTAGGAGAATTATAATTATCATTACTGCGGGACTGAAATCTAAGCTCTGTTTGTAATCTCTGCTCTGATTCTGAGACGACACCGAGCGGAGCGCTGGTTACAGGAACGCTACAGCATTGGCATTGTTGCAGTTGCATGTATATGTATATGGATTAGACATCACATCTAACATACACTATACGAACAAAAGTATTGGGGCACCTACACATTACACCCACAGGAGTTTTTAGTACATCCCATTCTAAATCCATAGGGCTTAATATCGAGCTGCCCCCCCCCCACCCCCCTTTGCAGCTATAACAGCTTCCACTCTTCTGGGAAGCTTTCTACAAGATGTTGGAGAGTCTGTGGGAATTTTTGTCCATTCATCCAGAAGATCATCTGTGAGGTCAGACACTGATGCTGGACGAGAGGGTCTGGCTCACAATCTCTGTTCTAGTTCATCCCAAAGGTGTTTGACGGGGTTGAGGTCAGAGCTCTGTGAGGACCAGTCAAGTTCATCCTCACCAAACTCACCCAGTCTTGCCTTTATGGAGCTGCTTTGTGCACTGGGGCTCAGTCATGCTGGAAGTTCTTCCCCAAACTGTTCACACAGAGTTGGAAGCGTACAACTGTCCAAAATGTCTTGGTCTGCTGAAGCATTAAGATTTCCCTTCACTGGAACTAAGGGGGGCAGCACAGCAAGAAGGGCCTGGGTTCAATTCCCGGCTGGGTGACCGGGGTCATTTCTGTGTGGAGTTAGTATGTTCTCCCCGTGTCTGCGTGGGTTTCCTCCGGGTACTCCGGTTTCCTCCCACAGTCCAAAGACATGCAGCCAGGCTGATTGGATGTGCTGAATTGCCCCTAGGTGTGAGTGAATGTGTGAATGTGTATGTCTGTATGTCTGCCCTGTGATGGACTGGCGTCCTGTCCAGGGTGTATCCTGCCCTCCGCCCAATGACAGCTGGGATAGGCTCCAGCACCCCACTGCGACCCAGAAGGATAAGCGGTCTAGATGATGGATGGATGGATGGAACTAAGGGGTCTAAGATAAGATAAGATAACGGGGAAATTCTCAGTGTTACAGCAGCAAAGGGAGAGCAAGACACTCAAGAAAAAGAAAAGAAGTAACAAGAAGAGAAACTAACAAGCAAGTAATTAACTACTAATTAATTACTTAACAAGGTTTTTACAGTTTGTTACTTGTTACTACATAGACGACATATATTGCTGCTGTTGGAACAAAACCCCATATCTCCAATTTTGACATTTTTCACTTTCTGACATAATTTGAAAATGTTGGCTTTGACATTGTGTGTAAATTTCATGATGAATGGACCAAAACATCCATCCATCCATCCATCATCTAAACCGCTTATCCTTCTGGGTCGCGGTGGGGTGCTGGAGCCTATCCCAGCTGTCATCAGGCGGAAGGCAGGATACACCCTGGACAGGTCGCCAGTCCATCGCAGGGCAGACAAACAGACATATACATCCACACACACACTCACACCTAGGGGCAATTTAGCACGTCCAATTGACCTGACTGCATGTTTTTGGACTGTGGGAGGGAACCGGAGTACCCGGAGGAAACCCACGCAGACACGGGGAGAACATGCAAACTCCACACAGAAACGACCCTGGTCACCCAGCCGGGAATCGAACCCAGGCCATTCTTGCTGTGAGGCGACAGCGCTACCCACTGCGCCACCGTGCCGCCCTGGACCAAAACAAACATCCCAAAATGACTCAGAAAAACGTCTGGTTCCATTGACTTACATTAAAAGTAAAGTAGGTTTTTTTGCTTCTCCTATAAAGTTACTATTTTGGAGATACA